TGGTATGAAATCACTCGGGAGCTTATTGAGGGTCAACCACCGCATGACCGCCATGCTATTATCGCAAGATTTTTTCATTTAAAATTAAAATCAATGATAGATCTAATTACCAAAGATAATATTTTTGGAGATGTATTGTGTTATATGTCTATATGTATTGTGTTATATGTCTATACATATAACACAATACATCTCCAAAAATATTACCTTTGGTAAGTAGATCAAAACTATTTTTGAGTGGCAAAAACGCGGCTTATACGAGTACCTCACGCACATATCCTGCTTTGGTTAAAACATAAGGTTCGACCTAATGATGTAGACAGTTCAATCAGTGCTGAAATTCCAGATCCGATTGCACTACCGTGTTATACGACATTGTTAAAACTCATATGATACATTAAAACTCATACACTAAAAAAATTCCAAAAGCATTAGTGGATGAAACTGTAACAGGACATGATGGATACCCATTATATCGTCGCCGTTCAAGAGACAATGGTGGTTTTACTGTTGAAAAGCGAGTGTCTGGACAACAGGTTACTTTAGATAATAGGTGGGTCGTTCCGTATTTGCCTGTGATGTCTAGAGCATTTCAAGCTCACATAAATGTTGAAATGTGTAATAGTGTAGAGTTAATAAAATATATTTGTAAGTATATTAACAAGGGCAGTGACCAAGCTACATTTGCGTTGAGAAATGAACATGATGAAGTTACTAGATTTCAGTCAGGCAGATATATCAGATTTTCAGAAGCTGTGTGGCGGATCTTAAGTTTCAACATTCACGAAAGATATCTACCTGTGACTCATCTGGATGTTCATCTTGAAGGCGATCAACGTATATATTTCAACGCCGAAAATGTTACAGAACGATTAGAGAACGCTAGACAAACAACTTTATTAGCATTCTTTCGACTTTGCCAAACTGATGATTTTGCAAAATCTCTTTTGTATGAGGAAGTCCCATCGTATTATACCTACGATAAGCAACGAGGTGTCTTTAATCGTAGACAGGCCTGTAGATGGCGAGTCAGGTATTTTCAAAGAACATTTTCTTGGTAGAGTGAAACATTTAGGTATTTTTATAGCTAGTTAAGTTGTAATGGTATTTGATAGCGGCATTGAAAGATTTAATGCAATTTAATGATCATAATGGTTTTAGTGAGATTAATGGGTGGTTGACTGTAACGGTTATATTCTATTCAAAAAGAAATACGAAGAAAAATCCAGAAGTGATTTTTATTAAAATATACACACACATTAAATTACATTTTTTTAATTTAACTATTATAATATATTAAAATTTAATTATATATATTATGTAGTATGATTCGTTGCTGAATGGCTATTTAAGACTGAACAGATTTTTAAATGCATTATGCTATATATTTGCAAGACATTTTTGATGATTTAATTTTTGATGATTGAACTTAATTGAGCACGAAACTCTTAGCAGTTTTTTACGAGAGACCTGTGTTTTTCAAATATTTTTTTTTCTATAATTCAATACCATTGATATCACATTATTGTAAATGATTTTCGTCAAAAAAATTTACTCTATATTATTTACCGTAGCAATTACAGTTGTCAGTTGGATAAGTAAACTTAGTTCAAAGTATGTAACAAGTAATCTTCGATTTCAAACAATCACTATGAAAAACTAAAAATATAGCAACATATTCTTAAAGTATCCACTACTCTGTAGTCTGTACTGTGTATTACTCTAATGTTTATAACACCTTCACCGATTAAAACAGAAGTTAGCGTGCACAAAAAATATGATGCGACCTACGAAAGTCAATGAAGTCTTAAAAAACGCCAACGTGCATGCACCAGAACCTCAATTTATTTAATAATTGTTTTTAACGTCGACATATGTCGATTTGTTGCAAAAACTATTCTGAAATGAGAAACAGCACAGCAGAAAACAGTTACATATAACCTTGAACTAATATTTTAGCCATATATTATTTCTTATCACGCAATTATAAAAATGACATTAATAAATTTAATAAAAACGAAAAGATAAGAAAACTTAAAACCACCTTAAAAACAGTTTCCGACCAATGTTTCAGTAAATAGCAACAAAAACCAATGAAATTCAACGACCTTCGTGGAACGGGAAAACTAGGAGAAATCACTATACATTTGGGAAACTATGATTCTAGCCGGCATTGGAAAAGCAACCTTGCCGCGCTCGAGGTAACGAGGAAACTTATGTCGGAAGGTATTAATTTACGGTTTCATTTCCTTTACGCGGTACTAACGGTCCGCAAAAAAATTGAACGTGCGCAGTTTTTTACTTAACGTTTGCGTGTTGAAATGTTATGTTTTATTTTATTTTTCTTACGGCTGTCCGCGATTTGGCCGCACGGCATTAATTTTAGATGGAAGTACGGAAATTTTGACACACTTTTATAGTTTAGTTTACTCTTATCTATACCAATATAATAAAGCGGAAGAGGTTTTTTTGTTTTTTTGTTTGTTTAAACGCTAATCTCTCGAACTACCAGTCCGATTTGAAAAATTCTTTTTGTATATAATAGCCAGATTCATGAGATATAGTATAGGCTATCTTTCATTAGCCTATAACTCTTAGCTAGCCTTAAATATTGATTTTTGTTAAGCAAGTCGGAAGAAAAGGCGCTCTCTAACTGCTTTATCCGCGTGCGCTGGCGTAACGTTTAGTATTACATAAATACAATGTTCTATAAAAATATTGGTCTTTGCTCCACCTAAAAAAAAAATTCGTGGTACCATATGCATATTTCTTATATATAAGACACAATAAGGTATTTTGTGACAAAAAATTATTGAAAATTAAAAAGTGATTTATGAGCGTTATTATTAGGCATGGCATATTAATCCTTACGAACGAAAGTTACTTCATCATCAAGACAATTTTATGAAGATAAACTTTGCTCTTTATAGCATGTTATTTGGACGCATAGTTTAAGAGATAATGAAAAATTAATATAATAAACACTCTACTCGGAGCGCGAACGATCGCATAAACTCTAGCTGCCCGTTGAGATCCGTAAGAAACCAGCAGTAAACGCCTATATAAGCGAGCTGTCATTTCGCGCGGCTTAGATTTAGATGCATGAACGGCCCTTTTTGTTACAGACTTCGCTTGGACAGTGTAATAATACGCGAGTGAAACCGCGGGGCACAGCTAGTAAAGAATAAATATAAACAATACTTAATATGTCGCTAATAAAGAAAAGTTTCTATAAATTACTGTGTTGTGTTGCCAAAGCGTTATTTAGATTTTTTAAATGTATAATATAAAAAAGTATGTAACAAGCGTTTAAAATAATAATTTAACATTTTATTTTTAATTCTTAACGTAACATAACATCTGTGGCATCACTAAAACGTGAATAATATGCAACGCTTTGCTGTCCATGGGTAAAGCAACTCACGGTCAATAAAAAGAGCCTTCCGATTTATTAACTATCATTCAAAGTGAAACAGATTTATCAGTTTAAACGTATTTAAGATTCATATGAATTTTAAATTTTACCAGGTTACAGAAGCGACCCCTTTACAGAGGCAAGAAACTAAGTTTATTGCCTTTTTTATTTTTTTTTACAAAATGGTACATACTTCATTCTTTTTTACATTTATAATGATTGAATGCCCAAAACTGCACAGCAAGCTGTGAAGAGGGTTATGCTCCGCGTTTCTTTGCATGATAGACTTATAAATTGTTTATTTTGTATTGTTTAGATACGGAAATCAAACAAGGGAGTTGAGACAAGACTGTCTTTATTATATACCTGCATGCAAATATTATAATTTATTTTCAAGATACCTACAGAAATGAGAATATTCGCAGTAGAACCAGATTAACCGACATAGACAACAGCTGATCTATTGGGCTATGTCTGTAAAGTGAAGTGGCAATGGGCCGGCTGTATATCTCGAAGAACCGATAACCGATGAGAAACAGAGCTTTTCGAGTGGCAGTCTCGTACCGATAGCCGACAGGCGAATTGTAGAGCGGCCCACTCCAGATGGATAGATGGATTCAGGAAGTCGATGGATGTAGCTCAAGATCTTGCTTTGTGGCATTTCTTGGGGATGCCTATGTTCAGTAATGGACTTGTGAAAGGGAGTAATGATAATGATGATGACGATGTATATGTACACACATATTAACTCTCACACTTACACTGTACACTCTTACACTATTAACGGCTTCATTTTTTATAATGTAAGATAAAAATATAAATACTTTTTTCATTACACATACATTTGAGGTCCCTAACCCGCTATTGTAAGACTAAGTTTTTTGAATACTAAATTTTTTATACAATGTACTTCGATAATGTATCAAAAGCACAGACTGAGCTATTTTGGCTCTACAAAAAATGTTGCAGCAATTTGTGACTAAGACTTTAAAAAAAAGTTTCGTCTGTACCTTCTAGAAGACCAAAGAAGAATCAACACTCTGCAATATAGGTTGTTTAACCTTGGTTCATTAAGGCTTATAATATTATGCTAAAGTTTAATTGGGTTGTAACATGTTGGCCCGACATATTATCACCTTTTGTGGAGAAGGGAAATCCTGACATCAAAAATATTTCCTCCTATTTAAAGAATGTTTTATAACAAGAGCATTCCAAGACTAGTCACATTTAATTTAGTTCATTATACAAAACACCTTACCCCGACTTTTGGCACATTACATTTTCAGAATGACCATTCCTAATTATAAAGGTTGTACACTTGTACAATTTACACACAAGAAGCCTGCCTAGATTACTTTTACGAAGTTATTTCCACCCATACGAAAGTCCCGAAAGGAACGAGAAACCCGGAAAAATGTATTCATCAAAAATATTTATCATGGAATTTCGATATCGTGTAAATAAATATAACAGTTAAGAAAATGTAGTTATTTTTGAATCACAAACAGATACTTAGAATTTGTAAGCAGGTTCACATTAGAATAATAACACCAAAATAATTTTTTTATATTTTTTTATTACTTCCTTACAGCTTACTTCTTGTAGATTTTGCCATTTTTTTTAGTTCTTTTCTTAGAATTTTTCCCGTTAGTGTCTTTGGTATTGCTTCAACAAAGCGAACTCCTCCGCGAAGATGCTTCGAATTCGATAGCTGTAAAATATAAAAAAATATCGTAATTTTATTAGATAGAGTTCGATGCGATGATATTGATGCTATTTTATTTAAACAATCAGTAATCTTGTATGACAATGCAGGAGTTTTAAGAGTTCCAATTAGCATGTATTACTATTACCTACTTAAAAAACTTACCCACGCAAACTACGTTGAGTAGACATTTTAATGTTACCCTAACGTTGGACATGCAGTTGCAATTAACTAGTTTAGACATGTGAAGTTTTATATAGTGAATTTATTATGACCGTGACACATTCTAAATGTTAGTCTCCACAAAAAAAAAAGAAACTTTGGAGTTAATATTTTTTGTTTAGGAAATTTAAAGTTATAAGGATTTTGCAATTTCTTTAAAAATTGAAGTGATAAACAAACTTACAGATCACCTGATAGTAATTGATTACTGTAGCTACAAAAAACCTGCAACCAACTTTAAATAAAGCACGCTAAAGATGCGTTGTTGTTAATTTGTCATGGCTCTTTATACTCTACAGATCGAAACACAGCAGTGCAAGCACTGCTATTTGGCGGTAGAAATATTCTCGGCATTGACATATCGAGAGAAGTTTAGCTCCACGGTTACTCGGAAGAAAGGCCAAATCGGCCTCTAAAATGAAAATGTGTTTTATTTTTCTACGGACACAAAAGTAGTTTTACAAAAATAATAAACATTCTGTAAATACTAGGAACAGACACAAGCTAGTAGTACCAGTTACTCGACTCCATCGAGTCAGTAATTCATTATTGGGGCGATGTAAACACTTTTACAACAAAATTCCAGAAAATATACAAAATTTAACTTATTCAAAGTTCAAAAACTTTATTAAACTAAGTTTGTATAAAAAGGGTTATTGTAATATTAAAGAATTTATGGATGATAATAACCCCTGGGAATGAGGTGATCGCTACCAAGCTATTTCTAATTTGTTTTGTGTGGTTAATTGTGTAACATACATGATTATAAGCTGTTATTTAAAAAAAAAAGTCCCGCTGGGTTTCTTGCTGGTTCTTACCAGGACAGAGGTTTTTTTTCGAACCAGTGGTAATTTAACAAAAGAATGACTTTCAATAAGTATTATTGATAATCTATATTGAATAAAAAAGTTTCTGTTTCTGTTTCTGTTTCAAAAAAACTTAGCGTACTCAGTAGAGCGGGAGCTGTTCCATGCCGGCACACCGCTCGCAAATTTTAAAAGTGCAGATTCGGCCTTACTGTTTTCATTTTTGGGTCGGGAAATTCAACACTTTTTACTTAAACACATCCAGCTACGAGCAGCCTGAATCGTCAACGGCCGAATTCTTTCTAATCAGATCGACTCAATAGCGCTGCGAAAAATTGTTGCATTTCTTTGGATTTTCTATCGCATTAACACCGAGAGACCTCAGCAAAATTTATCGGATTAATTCGAGCAGCCAAGTTCCACCAACGTACATCGCGATTTATCCACACCATCTAGATGCATAATGGCCCACCACTATCTGATTTACCAGAAGTTTCTTTTCCCGCACACCTTGTTTGTGGAATTGGCTACTATCAGCGATTTTCAATTTTAAAGACCAATATGGATTAGGGACTTACAGAAAACAGCCTCCTTCTTTTTATAAGGTCGACAACGTACCTGAAATTCCACCAGTGTTGCACTTACCATAAGGTAAGCCGCATTCTTGTTTGCCCTATCTTGTGTAAAAACAATATGCATTTGTCTACTGTATTTGTTGACTTGTTAGCGCTATAATAAAGATAATAAAGCCATTCTTTTGTTAACATACCCGTTCAGCTACAAATTGTTGCAGCTCTGCTTCTGTGGTTTCGGCGCCAGGTTGCAGCACAACAAACGCAAGAGGCACTTCACCGGCAGAGGCGTGTGGGACTCCCACCACGCCCGCATCACGCACACCCGCGTGTTTAAGAAGAACTGCTTCTAATTCTGCTGGGGCTACCTAAAATACAATCTACATATTGTACGGGCATAATAGTAACGAGTTATAGTGTGAAAGGTAAACTTTTAAGGTACTATTATTAGTATTTTCAAACAACTTTTTTAGAACAACAATGCAGCTATTTTATAGCTGCAGAACGGATGTACCGGCTCAACTAGGGCAAGACCAGATTCTCAAAGAATACCAGCGTTGAATTACAGCGTAATGTTGATGTGTTTCGTATGGTGAGTGAGAGAACATGTGACCATTTTTACTGGTAATCAGGAATTCCGTCTTTGTCCTCAAGGGTGACAGCGCATCTGCTTTTTTATTCTTCATCTAGGATAGACTTAGATGACTGTGTGCTCGCTTGTCACCCTTATTCTATAAAATATAAAATAATCTGAATAAAAGAACACACATATAGACACAGAATACAAAAGATTTAAAAATATATGTCCATAATGCAATTACGAAACGACTGATTAGTTGGTATAATGGTCGCGTTAGGCTATTTTAATTAATCTGGTTATACTGCATAAATCTTTCTTACGAAGTTCATCACGTAAAGAATCTCCAAACGTAGCCCTCTTTAGAGCTCGCTGAGCGAACTTGACCTTCTCATGCATTCACAGTGAAATAAAACGTCACAGATCATGTGTCATCTCTGGCAACACGAACTGGTTGTACACTCTCTCTTGAAGTTTTTTATAGGCATAGAGGACGAGAAGATAAGACATAATCTCACAAACGCTACATAATATACATAATTTCATTGCTCATATCTATTATGAATATATGCTAGTTATTTTTTTATTGCTTTGACACTGTTTCAGTATACCGATACAGTTGAAGTTTAATTTGAAGTTAACTCTATCACTACTATTTATAATCCTACCTTTTAAACCAGTTTCTATAAATTAAGATAACATTATATCAAACTTATTTTAATTACTAATACCATACATTTTACATTTATGTACCTGGTATCCTTTATATTTGATAAGTTCCTTAAGTCGATCAACAATGTAAAAATATTTATCGTCATCATAATATCCAATGTCACCAGTTTTGAAGAAACCCTCTTCATCAAAGTCGTCTTGTCTTTTCTTTCCTATGTAACCTTTCATAATCATTGCGCCCTTAATACAGATTTCTCCATTTTGGTTTGGTCCTAACACCTTACGAGTTTCTGGATCCACAATCTGGAAAATTAAAAGTAATAACAAAAGATTAAGATCCATGGTGGCTCAGGGGTACGCGCTCGTTGAAAATTTCACAGGACGCGAGCAAGCGGGGTCCGATTGCAGCCAGCACCAATGTGAAATTGTTAATTGCAATTTTAAGTGCTGATATACCATGTTTTCGGCGGTGAAAGAAAACATCGTGAGGAAGCCTGTACGTTTAAAAAATTAAAAAAACATATTTCGCAAACATGTGAAGTCGGCCAACACGCACTGGGGCAACGCGGTGGATGCTTCTTTGGCCAAAAGCCCCTCAGGAATTAGTTTAGGCCTGTGCCCAGGAGTTGGGTGTATAACATACATATTATACATACGTACGGGATGATTTCTTATATTAACGCGAACACTACACATTGAATAAAACTATTTTTTACGGATTTTATCGCGTTTTATTTACTGTTTTAATTTGGGAATTAAAATAGTAAATTAAACGCGATAAAATTCGTAAAAATAGTTTTATTCAATACGTACGTGAGCTATAACTTCACTTTACTTAAATATAAGAGGACTACATGTTTTAAGATCCGCGTATTTTTTTTAAGTATAATTATGAAAGAACTAAATTTACTAAATTTGTTTTAAAAATTTTCTGTAAATAATTTCTGACAAATAATAGAAATATATTATATAACTTTGTGTTGGGAAAAACTGGATATAAATAGTTTAATAAACTTAGTTGCAATTTTAAATTCAAACATAAATTTTACTACGGTTATAAATGACGAATAAGAGATGATAATGAATGATTTATAATATAGAGATAGATAGATAATTCTATTAACAATTCTAAACACGAAATAAGAGAGAAAAATAAAATTCAAAATGTTAAAAGGTAGTAAGTACAATAGGCGGTCTCATCGTCTTATCATAACTACTATCCTTGTGATTAACAGTCGTATAGTTACGGCGTAAGTAAATCCATTACTCCATAAAATGCCGTGGATGTCCTAAGAGCCGACAGATGTAAATGAACCGCATTATCTTCCTTCTAATAACTGAAAGTAATAGAATACTGAAGTTACCATACCGCACGCCTAAAGCGGCAAGTATTACATGTATGGCAAATATCCCCCTATAAGATAATCAATGGGGGAGGCCTATGTTCTCAATGGAATCAATTAATATTTGCAAGAATCTCAAGGTCATGATCTAGCAATGGTCTATTATGGGCTGATGTAAACAATAACAACAAATATTTCTCACTTTACCACCAGCGATTTTTCCGGACCGATACGACTTAGGGACCTTCAAGAAAAGAGCCTACTCCTTTTTAAAAGGCCGGCAACGCATCTGCAATTCCCCTGGTGTTGCGGTTGTTCATGGGCGGCGGTAGTCACTTACCATCAGGTGAGCCACATGCGCGTTTGCCCCCTCTCCTATAAAAAAAAAACTTAAAGATAAACAATAGTTTAGTTACAGTTGTTATACGTCTCATGCTGGGCGCTGACCCCACACTTTCTTCGGATTTCTCATTTCTGAGAAACTAACCCTAAGAAAGTATTATAAATGAAAAAAACAATACCTTGATAATTGTGTTGGAATTAACTTGTCCTACACTGCCTTCTTTGTCTCCATTTATATTTATTGTGACTACTAGGGTACTTTCTGTCATTCCATAACCCTGTAGAACAGCTTGTACATTGGGAAATCTGTAAATATTGTTTATCGTGCCTTTAAAACTTTTAAATATATCTTCCGCCTGTTAAAGACAACAATTTTGGAGTTTCAATCACTGGCATGTGCAATTTGTAATTTGTACATGTGCAAAACGTCAGGATGTAGAAGAAACTCCTTATGTATACGGAACACTAACAGTACCAAATGGTAGTTTTGTTTTAAGAAAGTAATATGTCTCAGGTGTACTCAGTAATAGGAGTCCATCAGTAATACATGATATGTTATGAATTGAATAACACTCGTTTTAATAAACAGATAATACTAAATGTATATTCCGCGGTCTATTTAGATTTGCTGTTGAACCTTATCTTTATATGACTGTGATAAGGTTGAATGAAAAACTAAAATCAAAACAAATGTAGAACAATTATATTTATACACAAAATATCTTTATCCCCTCATGTGCCCGACCATTTTATGTTTTTACGCTTCAAGTGACAGTGGCCGTCGGGAGGTCGCGCGATACCGGTAGCCGCTAATACACAATATCTTTTTAATTTTGTATTTCAGCTATATATAAAACTTATACGATGCGTTTGTTATGAGTTAAGATATTTAATTCTACTTTATTTTAAATTCTGTTTTATTCCCAAGGGATCCTTCACCTTTAAGAATAAGTACAGTCCTTCTGGTGACGCCGGAGCGGCACATGTTGAAGAATTAAGGCGTTGGGACCGGGACGACCTCGGAAGACCCGTAATCCCCGTCTGAACCTATTTGAAGAAAAGGAAGAGGTTCACGCCCTTGTGTGTTACTCTGTCGCGGGGTTCTCATACGTTGTTCCCGAACCCAATGTAGGCGTCTTAGGCAGGATTTAGCTCCGTTCTTTTCAATTGATCCTTTGAGAAGAGGTCTATCCTTTTTATTTGGTTCCTTACGAGCCGGATAAGAAACTCTATCCTTTTCAATTGGTCCTTCGAGTAACTGAATCAGGAGGCCGGCTTAGGAAGATAAGAACCTCCCTGCTCCTTTTCAATTGGAAAAAAATATTATTAAATTCTATTTTTATAATATTATCAATCTACAAAATATATAAAAAAAATCACACCCCGTCATTACATTTTTTCCACACAACAAACTTTTTAATATCTACCTCCTTTTACACGGCAAAACAAAAAAAAGGTTAAAACAATCGAAAATGTTCAATTTAAAAACGTTTGAAAATATTACATTACGGCCTTGTGTTTGATCTATGTTGTTCAAAGATTAGAACAGCGTTTTATTTAAAGAGTTATTAAAAACAAAACTATTCAGGTATCATTTAACACTTCGTTTTAATAAAGTCACATTGCCCATTATTAAAGTCTAATCATCTTATTAAAGACGTTTAGTCTTTAATAATAAATTAAAAATTTGTTAAATGAGCCCATTACCATCAACATTGCAGACCATCACAATCTCACCGCTGAACATGGACCTAATAAAATAGTTCTGAGCCACCTGCACCAACAGAGTCCTCGCTAGTACTCGATAACCTTTCGGTTGTCGGTTTTTTGGCCTATTATCTCTCTAGCTTACCCTTGAACTGTAGTCAGTTGATAGTACAGTTGTACATATACTCGTTATGGTTTTAATCACCCAGAGAAAGCTTCCCTTTCCATAACTCGTTGAGTGACTGAGCTTCTTTATACGACCAGTAGTACAAGACCACGTATGGTACTCTATGTAAGACGTCACTAACAACACAAAGCAAAAGAAATTTTTAAAATTATGCCCACCTTTTATGTACCGCTACAATTGTCTCTTTGTGCAAGGGTGCAGCTCCGGAAAATATCACTAACACGGAACTGACGTCATATTTCGACGGTGACTTGCATAGTGCCACCAACACTGGAGGCACTACGGTCAGTTGTGAAATCTGAAATTAATGTGAAAATAGAAGTAGAGATCTATACTCATACATAAAAATGTTTGCTACTAAAATAAGAACAAAAAAAATTAACTAAACAAAAATGTGCTCAGTGTGTTAGTACTAAGACAGCTTTTTATTTAGTTCTGGTTTTAGGATCATAATAGATATACACGCAACTGGATGTTAGTGGAGTTATTATACATATTTTTATGTAAATCTAATAGATTTTTGTAATTTTATTCATTCTACCGTATGATACACATGAAACAAGTAAATACCTGATATTTTTCTATAGTTTTCAGGTATAGATCAACTTCAAACTTTGGTAAATATACTGTAGTTCTCCCTTTAACAAAACCGATTAGGTGACTCATGAGGCCCATGGTGTGGTACCACGGTGTGATCGAGAGAGTCACAAATGATGGCCTCTCAACATTCGAGCTGTAAATGACAATTTATAACATGTGCTGCAATTTAAGTTTGCAATTATTATTATTTTAGACTCACTAATGTGTTAAAGTATTAATAAAAATATCAGTAGAACCACATTAATCGACAAATCCCAATGAATTAGTAACCTAAATAGTAATCATCATCATCATCATTACAGCCCTTCACAAGTCCACTGCTGAACATAGGCCTCCCCCAAAGAATGCCACAAAGCACGGTCCTGAGCCATCTGCATCCATCGACTTCCTGCATGTCTTACCAGGTCGTCACTCCATCTCGTGGGGGGACGCCCTACACTTCGCCTACCGGTACGAGGCTGCCACTCGAGAACCTTTCTTCCCCATCGGTTGTCGGTTCTTCGAGCTATATGGCCGGCCCACTGCCACTTCAGCTTACTAATCGGTTGGGCTATGTCGGTCACTCTAGTTCTACTGCGGATATCCTTATTCCTAAGTTTATCACGCAGAGAAACTCCGAGCATAGCCCTCTCCATAGCTCGCTGAGCGACCTTGAGCTTCCTCATACGGCCAGCAGTAAAGGACCACGTCTCAGTTCCGTAAGTCATCACTGGCAACACGCACTGGTTGTACAATTTCGTTTTAAGGTTTTGAGGTATGTCTGACGAGAAGATGTGTCGTAGCTTCCCGAACGCTGCCCAGCCGAGTTGAATCCGTCTATTGACCTCTCGGTCGAAGTTGGACTTACCTAGTCGGACTATTTGTCCCAGGTAAACATACTCGTCAACAACTTCGAGCTTAGTGCTCCCAACAACTACCGGCATCGGTGTGACATGGACATTAAACATGATCTTTGTTTTGTCCATGTTCATCTTAAGACCTATCCGTTGGGAAACACTATTGAGGTCATTGAGCATAGTGCTTAGGTCCTCCAGCGATTCTGCCATAAGGACTATATCGTCGGCAAATCGAAGGTGAGTGATGTACTCGCCATTGATGTTGATACCGTATCCTTTCCAGTCCAGAAGCTTGTAAACGTCTTCCAATGCAGCGGTTAAGAGTTTCGGGGATATGACGTCACCCTGTCTTACACCTCTCTGCAATTGGATAGGTTTCGTACTCTGGTTCTGTACTCGGATAGCCATCGTAGCCCTACTGTACAAGCACTTCAACACTTCGATATACCGACAGTCAACTTGGCACCGCTGAAGGGACTGCAGCACCGCCCAAATTTCGACGGAATCAAAGGCTTTCTCATAGTCCACATACGCCAGACATAATGGCAAATTGTACTCTTCGGACTTCTGTACAACTTGCCGAAGGGTATGTATGTGGTCTATGGTGCTAAAGCCCTTTCGGAAACCGGCTTGTTCGGGAGGCTGGAAGTCGTCAAGTCTGTGCGCGAGACGATTCGTAATGACTCTCGAAAACAGCACGTAGACGCGGCTCAGAAGGGAAATCGGTCTGTAGTTCTTCAAGAGAGCGTTGTCACCTTTCTTGAAGAACAAGACCACCGCACTTCTGCTCCACGCCTCCGGTGTAATGCCACCATGCAGGACGGAATTAAAGAGCTTCTGAAAGACTTCAAGTACCGGTCTTCCACCCGCTTTCAGAAGCTCCGCTGTAATTCCATCCTCGCCTGGGGCCTTACCGTTTTTAAGGTGCTGGAGAGCCATCCTAATCTCGCTCAGACTGACATCCGGGATATCTTCGGAATACTGGCGGATGAGACTCGCTCTTGGATCGTTACTCACACTTGCGTGTGGCTCCAACGATGATGTGTACAGCTGCCCATAGAACCTCTCAATCTCACTCAAAATCTCAGGTGTCCCGGAAACGATGCTGCCACATTCTGTCTTCAGCTTTGACAGTTGGCTCTTTCTGGCAGACAGATCTCTGGCAAAGACTTTGGAGTCTTGGTTCCGCTCGATCGCTTCTTCAATACGAGCTGTATTGAAGTTGCGTAAGTCCCGCCGCATGCATTTGGAGATCTGTCTGTTCAGATGCCTGTATGCTGTCAAGTCTGTTGAAGAATGTAGCTTCATCTCCCGTCTAACAGCCATGAGATTAAGAGTGTGATCGGAGAGTTTTTGTGTTCTTCTGCGGCGGGTCTTGCAGAACTTAGCTCCGACCGCATGGACAGTTTCCACGAGCTTGTCATTCATATCGTCCACTTCATTGCAGTCTTCCAGGCACTGAAAACGGTTTTGTAACTCGAGCTGAAAGGTTTCGGGACTTTGGAACAGAGCAGGAGGGGGACGGAGCGTTGACTTCATTAGACGAGACCTCTCCAACTTAACGTTTAGGTTCAGTGTGCCTCTAACCATTCGGTGATCGCTACCAGTTTTCACCCTCGCGATCACGGAGACATCACTGAACAGTTGTCGTCTGGTCGTCATAATGAAGTCAATCTCATTTTTTGTGGAACCGTCGGGGCTCGACCAGGTCCACTTCCTGTGGGGCCGCTTCTGGAAGAAAGAGTTCATCATAAAGAGTCCCTCTTTCTCCATGAAGTCGGCCAGCTGCTGGCCCCTTGGGTTCCGTTGCCCTATTCCAAATTTCCCTACTTTCAGCTCACCGTTCTCTCTTGTGCCTAGTTTTGCATTGAAGTCTCCCATTAACACCGTATATTGGGTTTTGGAGGAATGCATGGCTCTAGAGATATCCTCATACATTTCCTCCACCACTTCATCGGGGTGTGCCGAGGTTGGTGCGTAAACCTGTATGACCTTCAGCGAATACCGTTTGGTGATTCTGAGTATAAGGTACGCAACCCTCGTCGACACACTCCCGATCTTTACAACGTTGTTAACGAGAGACTTGTGGACGATAAATCCGACACCTCCTTGGGACAGATGGTCGCCCTCCCGGTGATAGAGCAAGTTGCCGGATTCGAGGATTACCGTGTCCTCCCCCTCTCTTCGGACTTCAGATAATCCTATAATATGCCAGCGCAACTTGTCTATCTCTTCTTCCAGCTCCACAATCTTCTCGTCAGTCCTCAGGGTGCGTGCGTTGTACGTTGCCAGGTCGAGTCGTCTAAGGTGGCAACCGAACCTCCACCGGAGATTCTTAGCACCCCCTGCCCCGCCGTTACCATGGTCGCCACCGTAGCCAGGAATAGCGGGGCCGCCGGGGACTGGGGGCCGTTTCTTTGTTACTGTCATTCATAGGGGGATATTTGCCATAGTTGCCACGCTTGGCGAGCGGGTTGGCAACCGCAGTTTTTTTTTATTGTAATTTGGCTATTATCAGGAAGATGCTACTGCCCATCTCCTGCCTGTTTCCCTTTGTCGCCTTTTACGACACCCACGGGAGGATATGGGGTAGTGGATATTCTTGACCGCCACTACACGGCAAAATAGTAATAGGCCGACCTTATAACTTAAGGAACCAACAACCGAAAAATTGTTATCGTATAACAGCCTTAAACTGGTAAGCGAGAATCTGCCACTATATGGAATGACTACCTGGTAAAACGTAGCTCAGGATCGTGTTTTATGGCATTCCTTGGAGGCCTATGTTTAGCTGTGGACTTGTGAAGACTGTTATAATGGTAATAATTTTGGTGGTAGTGATGACGATAATGATGAATACTCTTACACCGGCACCATAAGGTAACAAGTTTATGTAGAACAATCGATTAGAATTCCTTACCGATCAATATTGTCATCAAATTACTTAGGTAATTAATTAATTTCAATGTATAAATACCCTAAGGTGTACTGTTGTATCGACACTGTCGTCCAGCCACGATTGAAATGCACCGAAGGCTATATCACACTATCAAAGTTTCGAAGTAATGCGCTATACATAGAGTAACACCGTACTTACATACCACTCCACAGGCTGAACACCTTGTCCGGCGGGAGAGCTTCCCTTTTTCTTCTAAGGCTAAACTGTCATACCCTTACTTGGTATAAGATATTGCAGGCCACCCTACAATCATATCTAGTAGTATTAAACCTCACTTGAGTACTCTAAAACCTAGAATTCTGATACAACTTTCTAATCCTTTTTTGTGAAGGTGGTAGAGGTTTTCATCATCGCGACAACAGTCAGTCGAGACCTAACATCCGTCGCTTTTGGGCATTCCTCGTTTTTCTAAACATGATTGTAAATTCTAATCTAATAAACGGGGGGGGGGGGGGTGGGGGGGTTCCATTCCTCGATTTCGAGAATCAGATCCTATGATTTGTAAAATATCAAGCAGGACCTACAGCTTTATGTGGTTTCCAAGGCACGCACCGAAACACCCCCAACTCTGACTACGTGTTGCTAATGAGAATTACTCCACAGATAAGAATGATATTGACCCAGCCTCTTCCAATATATAGAAAACTGATTAATGATATATATATATATATATGGATTACGGATCTATAATACGTACGCAGAAGCCGTTAAAACGTTGAGATGCGTGATCATAACACCTTTGGGTAAGCCTGTAGTCCCCGAAGAGTACAAAATCATCGCCAAATCATTCTGTCCTTCGACGTCCACGGCATCGAAATCCTCGTATTTCACGTGTTGAGACAACTTCGAAGCGGGTCCAGCAATAGCAAGGTCATTGTACGACAACATGTTAGGTATTTTCTCGTCTCCGTACACTATAAACTTCTTCACGTATTCCAGACTTCTGAAGTTCTTCGCTTGAACTTTTAATGCCAGGGGCGAACAAAACATGAACGTTGGTTTTGTTATACCCATCACATGCTTTAGCTCGCCTGTAAACAAGGAGACTAACATGTTGACACTTCCTTTATTTTTTATTTTAAGTACATTATCTATGTAAGAAAAAATATAAATTTATTTAATAAAAAGACTGCCCGCGTGCGAAAACTAGATAACGTTTATATGATGATAGGAGCATAAAACTTCGTATGCATGCTGATAAGAGAGTTCTTTGAAAAGGTTTTACTATTTAAAAATAATCAAATACCATAGATTTTTTTTAGTTTCACTGAACTTTTTCATTAGCTCACGTATGCTATTAAAATGAACATTAAAATATTATTATATTATATTCATAATATATTATATTTTATATTAGACTAGCTCGCCAGGCAGACGTTGTTCTGCTCTTTCCAACGACCCTTCCTATAAAAATCCTTAAATTCGCAATAAAAAATTTTGAGGGTCATTTATCATATAATTGGACCAAAATGCACACAGTGTGCAAAATTTCATTGAAATCAGTTCAGTAGTTTAGGAGTCCATCGCGGACAAACAACTTGACACGTAATTTTTATATATAAAGATTATAACAGGGCATTTTAAAACGGACCGAACGGGGTTCATGCGGGTTATTGTCAGAAAGGTGTTGTTTTTGTGAACCGCTGTACATTTTGACATTTAAAAGGGTTAAAAAAAGCCTTAACTCATTAAACCAGTTCCTATGCAGATTACTAGTTCTTATTGGGTCTTGTTAGCCCTGTATTCGGAATAGGAGGTCTATAGTGCACAAGTGCACGTTCTCATATTCCGATTGGCCAGCAATCTGACCAGACCGGAGAGAGACCTGTCAAGAAGACAAAAAACCACTTTTGGAACGACCTGGGACCATGGGATCAGCAGTCGCGTATACTACCACTAGAACAACGAGGCTATCACAGCGTATATTATCATCATCATCTTATACAAATATTTTCCAAAGTTGTCACCCTTGGCGAGCGGGTTAGCCGCCATAGTTTATTTTTTATTTTGAGTCGTTATTAGGAAGAAGCAGCTGCCGATCTCCTGATTTCTTCGCCTCTGTCGCCTTTTACGATGCCTATGGGATGATAAGTCGGTCGTGAACAACAGTTATTGCATCAACTACCTCTTTCACATCCGTAGTTTGTAGACATTATTTACTCTGTTATAGTGTTATTCCTAGTATTAAAACAATTCGTCGTTGACGTCGCAATGGGGCGAACCTCAATTTTTTTTAAAAATACAGGAGAACAAGAAAATATTTTTTATTCCCCGATTACTAGCTTTTTTCACCAGAAAATTAAATATATTAGACTTAATGGAAAACTACGAATGAAATAGTATTGTAGTGTGTGTTATTTTTTTATTAAATAAATATGGAAGTGTATACGGTACTTAAAACAATAATACAATTTTTAAATTTTTGTCTGTCTGTCTGTCTTTTTGTACCGGCTGATCTCCGAAATTAGTGGACCGATTTTGACGGGACTTTCACTGGCAGATAGCTGATATTATAAGTAGTAACTTAGGCTACTTTTTTTTTAGAAAAAGAATAAGGGTTCTGCGCAAAAAAAAAATTAAAACCTTAAATTAAACGCGGGCGAAGTCGCGGGGAAAAGCTAGTATTGATATAAAGTTTTAAATTAAAACATGGCATTTCAAAAACAGAGCCCAGTTTTTGTAACGGGTCTAAAAGGTAGGTATTGTTTTTGGAAACGGTGTAGATTTTATTTATTTAATCTTTATTGAAACTTACAAAACGGCATATTATCAAAAGGCTGACTTAATGCTAAAAGCATTCTCTGCCAGTAAACCTTAGGGCAGTAATAATACTACGAAGGTGTTTACAGAGAACATAAATAAAATATTTTAAAATGTAAACATATACAAACATATCTAAATATACTAAAATACACTTGATTTTCACATTCACAAGGGTTTTAAACAAGCCTAAAAGGTTTTACGAATTTGAACAAGGTAAATTGTATAATAATTGTACTCGTAAGAATGAGATAAGGTGATTTAAGAAGAATATGTCAGGACAGCAGTGCAGTGCAAGATTAGTAGGTGGTTTGAGAGACAAGACTGTTTTAGGTCTGGTGTATAACGTTACGTAGTCGTCTGACAGCCGTCATAGGTCGTGAAATCTTTTTGACGTGTCTTAGGAACTTTGAAAATAACCCATAGCAGATTGATTTATATATATATATATATATATATATATATATATATATATATATATATATATAGTTATTGTTCTTGTTGAATTATATAGTCAAAGTTATATATAGTTAATGATTGATAAGACGTATCAATCTTCAGTGTGAGTGTATTGCAGTAGAATAATCGTAAGATAACGTAGATCAAATATTTCTAAACAATACTATAATAAACAATGTTAAGTAAACCAATGCCTGCATGGATCATTTAATATCAGTGTTCCTCAGATTATAAAATAACAAACAGATAGAGCGCTGCGGAAACACGAGAGCGACCAGCAAAGCTAATATAAATTCAGTGCATAAAAAAACGTCAAATCGTTATTAATATGCGATTATAAGTGACAAATTTTATTTACGATTCCACATTAATCGATCAGCTTTCCGCTAGTCTATTTATATAAATAAAGTGTCTGTTATTTCGTAATAACCGGCTTATGTTAAGCTCAGCGGGTTAATTCATCATCATACACTTTTATAAGTGGTAGAGCCATGCTCCAGATATTTTATGGTTGTAGCACAGACAGAACCACGCCCTTACAGAATATCAGCGTAAAATAGCAGCTTTATGCTGCTGTGTTCCATATGATAAATGTAGAGAACCGAAGACCCTTTTTACTGGAAACTATTCATTCCACCTCATTCCTCAGGGGTGACAACGTATCTGCATTTTAATTCTTAATTAAAGATAAATATAGATATCTATGGTACACACAGTATCCACTTACCACCAGGTGGGCCGTGAGCTCGTTTGTCACCCTTATTCTATAAAAAAAATAACAGCCCTTCACAAGTCCACTGCTGAACATCGGCCTTCCCCAAGGATGCTATGAAAACAATAACAACCATTTTTAAAATGTTTGTCTGTCTGTTTGTGTCTGTAACAGAAATAGAAACAGAAACTTTTTCATTCAATATAGATTATAAATAATACTTATTGAAAGTGACTATTTTGTTTAATTACCACTGGTTCGAAAAAAAAAAACCTCTGTCCTGGGAAGAACCAGCAAGAAACCCAGCGGGACTTATTTTTAAATAACAGCTTACAATCATATATGTTACACAATCAACCACACAAAACAAATTAGAAATACATAGCTTGGTAGCGATAACCTCATTCCCAGGGGTTATTATTATCCATAATACTTAATATTATAATAACCCTTTTTATACAAACTTTGCTTAAAAAAGTTTTTGAACTTTGAGCAGGTAAAATTTTGTATATTTTTTGGGATTGTGTTGTAAAAGTATATACATCGCCCCAAGAATGAATTACTGACTCGGTGGAGTCGAGTAACTGGTACTACTAACTTGTGTCTGTTCCTAGTATTTACAGAATGAATGTAATTTTTTTTGTATAACTACCTTTATTTTTGTGTACGTACATTACATTTTCATAGACGTATTTAGAGGATAAAGTTAATATATTAGTTTCTTTAAATTTTTGTCGGAGCGACTCTTTAGGTTTTAAATCGTAGGTTGCTCTTATGACCCTCTTCTGTGAAACAAATATAGTTTCAGTGTCTATAATACCATACGACATTATGCTATGGAAATAGCTAAAGTAAACAAGTTTAGCTGTTTTCACACTGGTAAGATTTCTAATCTTTTTTTATAACATATGCTGCAGAACTAAGTCCACTTGCTAATTTTGATATATAGGGGCTCCATTGAAGCTTCGCGTCTAGTGTTATTCCAAGAAAAATGGTGGTATCGACAAGACTCAGTTCCTCCCCATTAAAAATTACATTAGTATTTAATTGTTTGAAGTTCGGAGTCATGAATTTCATACATTTCGTTTTAGTGCCGTTTAAATGCAAGTTATTGACATTAAACAACTTTACTAATTTAGATATAGCGTTATTTACTTCGTCATATTTTAATAATTGTCGTTTTAATTTTAAAATTAATGAAGTGTCATCAGCAAATAATAATATATTATGGTTATCCCCTATTATGTAAGGTAAGTCATTAATATATACAAGAAACAGAAAGGGGCCGAGAATTGAGCCTTGAGGCACGCCCATTTGTACTATCGACCTGGAAGAGCTCATACTATTAATGACAACTTTTTGCGTTCTGTTACTTAAATATGAAATAATTAATTTAAGAGCAATACTTCTTACACCGTAGTGTTGTAGTTTTCTGATCAATATTTCATGGTGAACACAATCGAAGGCTTTGGATAGGTCACAAAATATACCCAAAGCATCCTGTGAATTCTCCCATGCATTGAAAATATATTTAATCAGCTCAACACCAGCATCAGTTGCTGTCTATCATTCTGTCTGCCTGTCCGGGCTAATCTTCTGAATGGAATCTTCACGAACAGATAAAGAACAAAGCCAAGAATAATCTAAATATTTTATGCGAAAATCTTACAGGTTTTTTTTGTAATTTAAAAACTGACCAATAGAACTAAGAATATCAAAAACTATGTTGATAAGATCTTTTTAACCCCCGAAAAAAACAGAGGGGTTCAATAAGGTTAAAATGTATATATCTGTGTATCTGTGTATCTGTCTGTAGCATCATAGTTCCTGAACGGATGAACCGATTTTGATCAAGTTTTTTTCGTTTAAAATGTGTCTTAATCGAGTGTCTTTTGCTGTGTTTCAAGAAAATCTATTCAGTCGTTGAAGATCCTCAGCTCTTTTTGTTTCGGGGGTTTCAAATTTTTTAATTTAAGTTATTTTTTACGTGATATTAATAGATCTTCAATTTTTATTTTAAGTATCTTCTCATACAGTTTGTTTATTAAGTTTTGCAAAAAATGTACTTGCTTTTCTATTACACATTTGGTGTCTATTAGGAACACCTTTTACTTTCATTATTATTGAGATAGACAAAAACAATATAATAAAAATAATTAACTTAGTAATTCTAATTAATAATTATAACTAAAAACGAAAAGCTAATGAAAAACAAAATGGCTCAGGACCATCCTTTGCGGTAGTGTATGAAGTTAATGTTCAGCAGTGGACTTGTGATGGGCTGAATAATATGATGATTCGAAAACTTGGATGATTATTATTTATTAATAACTCGATGTGCTTGATCAGTTTTAATCATGATTTGCTTTAATTAGTTCTTTAGCGTTAAAAGAAAAATCGACTGCTTAAAACTAAAACACTTACAGTAAGGTGATTAGGTACGTAGTAAAATATTGCAATAAAATTTGTTATGACGTCTTTAATACATATTTAATGCTCGTGACATGCATGATATTCAAAATTAGAGGTTGTTACGAATTTGTTACTGTGCCCCTAAAAGTTATCTTTAATAGGTACCTACCAAAAAATTAAAGGGAATAACCCTATGTTAGACTGACATTAGGTATACAAAAAGACGGCATTCGTTACAGGATTGCTTAATTTGAGCCATAACGATTTTTTTGTATTTCGCTGTTTTTGAAATCGTTCTTGAAATAATATGATTGTAAATGAATGTTCATTACATTTTAGGGTAAATAACCTATCGATTAAAACAAATCTTTAAAATATTGTGATTTAATTAAAATAGCAGGAATTTTCAAAGTTGAAATTGGCACTAAACTACTGGTAACAACAGCATCCACCCTACTTGCCTGAAGACCACCAAATCTGCAGGTTTTGTTTTTATCCTGGACAAAGTCGAGGGTAAAAACTATATTATATGCTACAGTGTACTATTGTACACAAGTAATAGGACTATAATTTAGGTACACACGTGAAAGAACGAATAGAATAGAATAATTCTTAAAAGACAGCTTCAGGGAAGAGACGGCAACAAACCCAGCGAGAACATTAAAAAGCACTCAGCTCATTCCCAGTACGATTACTCTTTAGTAGTATAATAAAAAAATTGTTTAATAAAAAATATTTGTAATGTCTTTGAAATGTCACATACAACGACCGTAGTATGTGTATATTATAATCAGAGTTTAATGTTTTTGTGCAAGGTTGTAAACATCAATTGACTAGATAAAACAAGCTTATATGAATAATCTTTCTCAGATAAAATGCCTTGTATGCAATATAATATAAAGATCGCTTTTATCGTTCAAAATAACAGGTGAAATAAAACTTACGATATGCACTGTTATGCAGAACATCATAACGTAGTATACAGTACACAAGAGGAAGTCTACCCAACGCTTGTCAATCATTCAAGCTATATAGCTATCCCATTACCACTACATTTTACTGATCCATACACTGCACATTTTCCACGTACAAAAGTTTTGTCGCAATGGCTGTAGTACCCATCGCCCGGAAACTCCACAATACGGGTCCAAATACTCTCTCAGATTGTGAATTAATTAACATTTGCTTAGATGTGAAAGTACATGTTTATGAAAACCAAAGCTTGATGTCGCATGGTGGCGGATTGAGTACTTTAATTCCTTTGTAAATCAAGTGGTTTTGTTTCTTAAAAAATATTACAATGAGCAATGCGGTTCACCGATACACAGAGATAACTGTTGCGTATTGTTCGTTTTTTTTTAAAGCTTATGACCATTAATACTGGAAGAAATGCAGGTGCATTGCCAGGTTTTTAGAAAGGAGTTTCTTTTCTAAAAGGTCCCGTAGTCGTATATCTATCAGAATATCCGTTGGGGTTGGCGTTTGCGTTCTTATCTTCTTTAACAACCTTTTACAATTTTTGTGATACAATGCAAAATATTTTAGAAGTTTTCGTATCGTCAACATCATAATAATCCGTACAGTTCTTGAAAAGTCAACTTCTGAACATATCCCTAACCCAAGGAATGCCACAAAGCACGGTTCTGAGCCACACGTATACAACTTACTGCATCTTTTACTAGGTCGTCACTCCATCTAACTTATATAAAAACGTACATAACCTTTCGTATAGATCATGTTGACAGTCGTCACCACAGCCCCTGCACAGGTAATTCCGATCACAGTGCTCCAGAACTCTCGCCTGTTCTCTGCACATATAGCAACCACATCGCCTCTCCGTACACCAAGCCTCACCAACGAAACAGCTAGGTTCATGGCCTCTTGGGCCATCTCCCCATACGTTAGTTTTTCATCCGTTGCTCCATTTATCTGAAAATAGGAAATATTACTAATTATTGCGAAAATTATTCGAGACTTCGGGATAGGCCAAAAACTGTGAAAAAACTTCATGTGGTTTAAAGACAACTTGTCCTTGCAAAAAACTAACTAGCAACAAAGTGATTGCGGCGTGATAAAGGTGATGATTACTTCGTCAATGTACTAATCACATACACATTTTCACAAGACACTGTGTATAAATAACGACCTAAAACAATATTTACTCACATTAAATAAGTTACCATATTGTAACATCGGACTATAGTACTATTATACAAGGTGTCCGGTAATGAATGGATAACCCTGAAACAGTATATGATAGACCTTATTACCAATTAAGAAAATACAAAAAAAATTTTCGAAGTAGTACCTGAGATAAGACTTTTTAGAAAAAAATCACTAACTTTTTTTACCTCATTTTACATTCTTCGTTACCACGACCACAAAATGAATGAATTCTATCAGTAATTTGTAGCTATAATATTGTACGTTGACTTTGCTGATTGAGAGACAAAAAATAGAGTGACTGATGTGTTTGACATCCCGATATCATAGTTAGCCCGGTTACCTTGAGTTTTTGAATATTAATTTTTGGTCCGATTTAATTTTATTAATTATAGGATCCCAAGCAGATGGCAGCACCCATCCATCTTCTCTATTGAAATTAGGATGTTTAATGTTTAACGATCTTGGGTGTAAAAAATAATGCATGAAAACCTAGGTGACCAATTATTTTAAAATAATACGCGTTTAATGGAGATTTAAAATGGTATAATTTGCTGTTGTATCTATTTAGTGTTAGTAGCGAATTAATGCCATTAATGTGCAAAAGGAGTCAATTTTACTAAATAACAAAATTTCGTCTTTTGGAACATTTTTATATTTTAAATTGTTTTTGGATGTTGGTGTTTAATAAATCCTCCGACCAAGGCGATAATTTTGGAAAACACGGAAGCTAACATGTACACGATTTAAATTTTATGTAATTAAGATTGGTTGATAGAAAAGTGGTAGAGCCACGCGGCAGCTTTTGCTGTCGCATGAATGGGCCGGCTCGAAACGGGGTAGTACCACGACCTCACAGAAAACCAGCGTGAAGTAGAGGTTTACCTCTGCGTTTCGTTTGGTGAGTGCCACCTGGCCGGAGGCCCTTTTTACTGGAAATGAGGCATTCCATCTTAGTCCTCACGGGTGACAACGCATCTACATTTTGATTTGTAACAGAGGATAGATGTAGATATCTATGGGCCGCAGCAACCACTTACCATCAGGTGGACTGTGTGCTCGTTTGTCACCCTTATCCTATATATATAAAAAAAAACAATACTGCATTTGTTAATAACACGACTCATTTAGGTCTATTTTAGAAACTAAAGAGTAAAAAAAATATCTTTGATATTTCAATTTGTTTTTTTTTTATCCAACAGGTTGTCATATCTGTAAACAAAACTAGTTTTTGAAATAAATTCTGCGTAAAAAGTGTTTAAAAATAAAGAAATTAACTTTATGTGTACGCATAAGTAGCAGTGAATTTGTATCGCTCTTGACTTTAAAGGTAGATAAAAAGTTTATCTCAAATTACGAATTTATTATATTTATTTATTGATAGATTAATTTTATAAAAATGTAAAATATGAAAAAATAATAAATTTGAAAACAAGCAATGCTACAGACTTCTACTTCGTTCACCTAGTCCTATATTTTCCTCACGATAAAGAAAGCGAGGTCATATAATAAAAGTGACAATTGGAAATGACAGTTGGTTCCGCGTTTACCATTTACCAACTCACATAATTTACTTTTTTAGAATCCTATGCACTTTAAAAGGCCGAAGGCTCATATCAGATAAATATAATTCCTAAAGATAAGTTTAAAAACGGTAAAATTCTTATTTTGTACTTTTTATAATATAACGTATTGTAAAGACTTTACTTACTACCTACTTATATACAATATGATTATAATTTCTAAGTGTTTTAAGTAAAATTATAATAAATGATGATTACGAGTTTACTATACATTTGTGTAAACAAAAACAAATTCTTATTTGTTGTATCTAGAATACACAATGTTACGAAATAATAATAATGTTAAGTAACTTGGCGTTATTAAATTCTAGGAAGAAATTTGCAGCACAGAATAAATAATAGTACTCAGTCACAATCACAGAGTAGGTAGTACTTTATATACAAGTCACATAATATACTCATGGACAAATTTAAACAAACGCAAAAAAGTGTGCATAAAACAAAATATAATGGATATCTCCGCTAGTAATAAAAGTATTCTGTGTATTTGTGACACAAAATATCACGGATATTTATGACAAGTTTATTAATTTAGATTTTGCTTATTATTTGTTAATTTAAAATTACAATCGTCGAATAAGCAAACGATCAAATGAATACACAAATCATCCAAGCTGAGAAGAAAGAAAAACTTTTTTGTATTTAACATTTTATTAATTTTTGCATAAATGCTTAGGAAAGGCCATGACATGGGCTATTATTATTACCTTTAGGCCAAGTCTTAAGTATTTTTATTCGGTTTATTGTAATTTCCCCACTCCTTCATAGTATACTGCTTCACAATATGTTGATGCGTCACATTGTGCAGTTCTTGGGAGATTTTGGCGGCAACTTGATCCAGCAGACAGCTGATAGTTGGCGATGGTATCTAAAGGTGCCTATGCAAACAAACAGCTTATCTTGAGAATCCATCACCATCAGAGCACTTGTTTCACTGTTTCCACTAATAGTTCACATGCGTAGACACTTAATACACAAAATCGCAACACTTTTACATATCAAAGTCCACTTCAAACCATTATTTAAACAATAATACAGGAGCAGCAAACCGCCGCCGGTCAATTTCCCGCCAAAACTCCGACATGGGCTATAATCACTACTTAGTGTTGCCACCTCTAGTTCTTCGACCCGCTGCCAGTTAACAATAATATGCGTTAATGCGTTTTTAAGATGCGTCAAATTAGCGGCGGCGGGATTTCTTTGCTAATGTGTCTTCCAAACTTATCCATACATGCTCTATGGAATTTAAGTCGAGCGGGTGCGCTGACCACCCCATAGCATTGATTTCAAGGTCTCGAAGGTAATCGAAAAGTACGGCCGCAGTATGGGGACATGCATTATCATTTATAAAAATAAATCTATCTCCTAGAAAAGAGGCAAATGGCACTAAAATTTCTTCCAAAATCCCCGTTATGCCCGTCATGATATACCGTGGCAAAAATATAGGGGGCCTCTGGCAGGCAAGTGTAAAGGGGGGTGCCCAATTCTGGCCATGAAACGCCCAACAATTTACATTTGTTAAAAAAATGCATCTTTTTTTATAGTAATTAATCGCGGTATTTATGTATCCAAAAAAGATTGCAATCTTTTTGCTCAAAATAAAGTACTGAAAAGATAAAAATGAAATTAGGTAAATCCGCAATTCATTAGTTTGTCGGTAAAATAAAAAGTATTGCCAATCACAAATCTCGTTAAAAAAGTTGATTCTGTTTTTTCAATCGATTTTTTATGGTGTCATTATTATAATGGTAATATTATTTATCGATAATTATTATTATGTTATGATAATTAAGCAAGCGAATTGCTAGTTGATTAATTATAAACATAACAAAAACGCTACTGCACAATTTAACTCTTATTCTTATCTGTTCTTAAAAATACATTTAAAATGGAATTTAGATAAATAAAACAAAACATATTTTAAAACGCGTGCAGAACTTAAAGCGAATCAAACATTATTCTTTTTTATGAAATTATAAATCGAATAAAAATCGCTATCTATTTATCGATTTTATGTCTGTTAATTGGCAACATCGAATCTGACAGCTAACACCATATCATAATTATCAAAACTTAGTCACAAGTCGAATTCCTTTGCATTTGTGTTATTTTTTTTTTTCGTTTTCTCGCGGATTTGTTATCTTGGCAACGAATAAGCTTTCTAAATGGACTCCGATAATTCTTCTCACCCTATTGACCACGGTCTGAAAATGGATCCCGTTCCCACTTCTTACGATAACCTCTGCACGAACTTGGACTCGATATCCACTGTTAACGATGACCCCAGCTTTCACACTGGCCAGAATTCTTCCCAGCTCTCAGTAACTTATTCAAGAGGACATTTACGCTGTGTCAATTTTGGTTTAAACGTCACGAAAATACGAAGTAATTTGTTGTTAAAAAACTGTTCTTGTAAAAATAAAAAACCTTTATATCTTAAAAATCTGAACTTTTTTTAAACCAATCCGTTAACCATTTCATTCTTTTAATTGCATATTATCATTTCCATATGCTTTTATATGTGGGCACCCATTGCCGAAGTGTCTATGAACGGTGGACATTCCCCTTTATTCTCAAAGTTTTTGTGCTTACTGTAACCCCTCGAACTTCTTTCAGCATCGTTCTTATATTATATATTATATAAGTCCGGACTTCGTTCTTATCTTATATATTATATAATACCGGACCTTAACTTATATATTATAAAAGTTAAGGTCCGGTTCCTAAGCACGCTGATAACGATGAACTGGTAATATCTGGCCACAGTTTTCCTTTTACGTTTCTGTCTTGCGAGTCTCATATAATAAAGACATAAAGACATTTATTCCAACACTTACATCTACACACATGACAAATTACAATTAAAAATAAAACAAGTGACTTATAAACAAACAAACAAAAAAAAAAATGAATAAAGAACAGTGCGTCCATTCAAAAAAAAATTAAAAAATAAAAATAAAATAAAATAATATAAAAATAAAATGGTGTGCTATGATGAAGTGGTGGAAGGGACCGTCTCAGCATATGCCGCGAGCTTGCAGCGCTGATTTTCAGCCGGCGCCGAAGAAGTTCTGACGGTCAATATATACTGTCTAGTCTGCCACTATTTCTTGACAACTCGTTGTACCACAGACTTTGATACTCGTAATGTAAAATATGAGCCCTAACAGCTAGAGTGTTACTAACTATTTGGGTTTAGATCTAGCATTCTCAGTTAATTTTCAGTGACAATTCTCACTTATCACGAACAACTAGGCAGTCATGGCAAAAATTTAAACAAAATCTAAATTTAAAGTGAAATTCAAAATTTGGTAAAATTTTTCGCAGTATGAAAGACCGTAATATTACAGAATAATTACATAGATGTAAAAGAAAAATATTCCACACGTTTCTTTTTTTTTCCATCATTTACTAATGTTTGTGGCTAAGTACGCATGATAATTTCGCACGAAATTAAAAATTTTTTTGCGTTTCACTAAATTTGTCCATGAGTGTATTTAGATTGTACTGTGAGTTAATATTTTTTGAATCAGCTCTTAAACCACATATCGATTATGTGCTCCAAGAGGTCGAACATTGGCGGGCGTTCCAGCCGCGTGAAATGTATACCGCCTTGGAATCCGCGCCCAATTGTTCGTTGGAATGCTCAAACGTCCATAAGTTGGGACGGTTGCTTTCATCATTTCATCATTCGTGTGTTTGTTGCGTTCTGAGGTATGGATAACCAAAGTTGCCATAAATTGATAAAATTATATGATTCAAAAGAACTGCTGTGGAATAGCAAAAGTAGTTTTTATCATAATAAATCGCTCAGAGAAGATGCATGGAACTATGAATGCGGCAGATGCTCGTACACGACTGACGTCCATGTTGAACGGTCAAACACTGAAGTGAAGTCAATGAACTAGAAACTGGAACAACTGCCGCGCGCGACAGGATAGCTTAGTTGATATACTTCGAAGTTCGAACATTTGAAACGCGTTTCGGGGAACGCACTGGTCGGCGCGGTCATTTGAGTCGCGCGCGCGACGAGCGCGTAGTCGATACGCGGCCTTAGACAACAATCTTTGAGTTCCGAACACAATTGTAAAACATAATATGATTTAATTCTATTATTTATTACTCACCAGTGCAACTGTATCTTTAAATTGCCATATCTTTTCTAATATGAATTCACCGGCGTTTAACTTAGCTGGCACGTATCTATCCTCGGGTCCATACACATAATTACGGTTTTTAAACATTATGTCACTGAACTAAACGCGTCTAAATACGTCGGAGTTTGATGCCACTTTAAAGTAGTTGGATATATGTAAATACGCCTTGACTGTACGTCATCGCTTAAGCTAGTTGAACAGTACAAGCGAAAATATTTGACGCTAATAAATAAACTTAAAAAAAGTGAGAGGTGACTTAAAAAACTTAATTTAACTTAACTTCTCATAAAACAAAATTCAAAAGTTTCTGATATCGGGTGTAATTTAGCATAGCACCGACTTAGCAATATCACAAGCTCAAGGTAACAACTAGAGTGTCGTCTTTATGAGTTAATGAACTTTGTATCATCATCAATTTACACCCGTGAGGTATAGACTATTTGATGAAAAAATAATCATTAAAATCGGTTTAAAATTGTTGAAGATGTCGCGTAATATACATACGAAAATTCTGTCGAATTGAGAACATCCTCCTTTTTTGAATTAGCTTAATAACTTGTTTACCGGTAATAAATATTCAGTGACGTCTTTTCATCTTCATATCGCATAAAATCTTAAAATTCACTTAATAAGTGTAGAAATTAACACTGATTACTTACGAGAGACTTGAGCATATTTTGATCCGCTTTTTGAGATGGCGTACTTTCTCGCTCTCTCCTAGTTCAGTTCTTCTCTAAATTTAGAAGACTAGGGACCCACCACGGTTTGGCCTGGGTAGGACCAATTTATGTAACGTTATTTAGATTTAAGATAATTATCAAAACACATTTAAATAATATATATATATATATATATATATATATATATATATATATATATTACTAGTCAGGTCATAAATTCTGTCACATGTTTAATATAAAATAATTGAAACAAGTTTATTCATTATGTAACCATTTATATACCAAAATGAACATAACAAAACATAGATTCTTATGACATTAAAGTTTATTCAAAATGACCTCCGTGATTTTGAATACAGGCCTTCAATCTGCGCGGCCAGTCGTCTATCGCAGCACGAACGAGGTCCATGTCAATATCGGCGGCTGCCTTAATCAAGGATGTCTTGAGTGACTCCAAATTGGGATGAGGCTTTGAGCACGCCTTTTCCTTCAAGTGTTGCCATATCTTGTAATCTAACTGATTCAAATCTGGACTGGAGGGGGGCCAGTCTTCGTGCCGGATGAAGTCGATTTCACGCACCGCCCGCCAGTCTTGTGTGCTCTTCGCTCTATGAGCTGGCGCCGAATCTTGTTGGAATACCCAGTGCCTGTTATTTAACATGGTATGAGGAACAGGTTCCACAAGGTTCGTCAGGACTGTATTTTGATACAGAACTGCATTCGTTTTTACACCTTTCTCACAAAAATGTACCTCTGTTAAGCCCCAATAAGAAACTCCCAACCATACCATGAGCGAGGATGGAAAATGACCTCGTTGGACACGCGGAATACGGTTGCTCGCTTCTTCACTACTGTGTGCGTACACCTTATCATTTTGTTTGTTATAGCTCTCTTCTACGGTAAAAAATTTTTCATCCGAAAAAAGAATTTCCCGATATTTTTTTCCCGCGTACCGCTTCAACAAAGCGCGGCATCTCTTCAGTCTCAGGTCCATTAGACGAGCATTCAAACGATGTCCTGTTTTTCTTCGATATGCCCGAAGCCTAAGTCTTCATTTAACACCCTTTTCACCGTGGTTCTGCTTAACCCCATCTGAAGGGCCAACAGTTTCTGCTTACGTTTGGGATTTCTTTGAATTCGCGCCTTCACAGCTTTTATCACTGCTGGAGTCCTAACAGACCGAGGGCGACCACTTCTTGACCTGTCATCTACACTAGAGTCTTCTTTGTATCGTTTGATGGTACGACAAACGAATCTTTTGGTTATATTCAAATTTTTCAGTATGTCATAAATTTGAATTGGCCGCCGCAACTATGCAACGCAATAACTGCAACACGGTTTTCTTTAAGCGTCCACTGCATATTTAAAAATGAGTAAAATTCTAAAAAGTATACAGTTTTATTTTCATGAACAATTCGAAATTCGAATTCAATAAACTTTTTTGTGGCCAGCATTCTAAAAGAAAAGTTTTTACTGTGTGACAATACTTATGACCTGACTAGGTATATATATATATATATATATATATATATATATATATATATATATATATATATATATATAAATATAATTTAGTAATTTTTTTTAAATGTTGTGGAAACTTGTTGTGGAAGAAAGAGAGGTGTTTTTTAAACTAGGTAATACACATACACCATTATCTTTTTGCATATATTATACCTTATAGTAGATAAATTTTACATCTTTGAAATGGTTATTATTTCCTTCCATTTCGTTGTGAGACTTTGATTATGGTGCCATTCTAAAAGCGTTGAACTTGATATCGTCGATTCTGGTACACTCATTTCAATAGCTTTGGATCTAGGAGTCATCTGGTTCGGCTATCATCAAACCGCCTGCCAAGCATGACGGTTAAGAAATTTTTTCCCTAGAATAGAAGGGACCACGACTAGACCTGGACGCAAGCGTAACGTTCTCACAATGTATGTATAACTTTTTCTTTTTATTAAAACATTACATTATACATATTGCAATCGTTTCCCCTCACTAAGGTTGTCTTGTGATGTGATTAATAATATTAATTATAATTAATAGAATATGGCGTTACTTTGCGAAAATCCATTGTATTAAAGATGTTAAAAATTTATTAGCGAAGATCCGCGTGATAAAATAAATAAAATGGTACGTACTAAAATAAACAAACGAGCTACCCAGTACTGAAAAAATACGTTTCACGTGATTTAGGGACTCTGTTAAGGAAAGAACGGCCTAGAAATTTTTACAGCTTGTACTGCATAGAGGACTTTATATATTTTTATCTAATATTGATAACATGTTGGTTACATATTATATAATCTATACATATAATAAATCTGTAGAAAAGTCGTGTCCGAATTCTAATATATTCTTGAAAAAACAAGTCAAGGGGACTAAGTAAAGGGTTCTGAAGCCAAATTAGTGGTTTTTAGAATTTTTGTCTGTCTGTCTTTCTGTCTGTCTGTCTGTCTGTCTGTCTGTGTATTCCGGATTCACGCAAAAACTACTGAACCGATTTATATGAAATTTTGTATGTAGGTAGTCAGTAACCCGGGGCAACTTATAGGCTACTTTTTATCCGATTACGGAACTTCAAAAAAGGAAGGTTAAGTATATTAATTTCCTTTAGATGTTAATTTTCTGAAGATACAAATCTTAGTTGTAGGCGGAATGACGGGTGTTTTTCAAATAAATACCATATTACCATATTTGTAAATAAAGTTAAAATATAGTTATAATCTTGGTAAAATAATTTGAAACTACACCGATTTCGTATTCAAAACAGCGCCATCTATCATCAAATGGAAAAAGTTGTATATTTTGCCTTCAGTTACTAATAAATGAAATAATATTAATAACTTACATTTATATGATTAAATTATTAAATTTTTAAAATTATTAAAAAATTGTAACGTTCAGTTTTTTAGTATTTTTATTATTTTATTTTAAAAGTGCAATAATTTCAATAGATAATAGTGACGTCTGAGAGTTTTGGCGGGAAATTGACCGGGGGCGGTTTGCTGCTCCTGTATTATTGTTTAAATAATGGTTTGAAGTGGACTTAGATATGTAAAAGTGTTGCGATTTTGTGTATTAAGTGTCTACGCATGTGAACTATTAGTGGAAACAGTGAAACAAGTGCTCTGATGGTGATGGATTCTCAAGATAAGCTGTTTGTTTGCATAGGCACCTTTAGATACCATCGCCAACTATCAGCTGTCTGCTGGATCAAGTTGCCGCCAAAATCTCCCAAGAACTGCACAATGTGACGCATCAACATATTGTGAAGCAGTATACTATGAAGGAGTGGGGAAATTACAATAAACCGAATAAAAATACTAAAGACTTGGCCTAAAGGTCTAGATACCAGGCCATAAACTCCAAAAAAAAATAGTGACGTCTATCAAAAATATGAAAATTGATAAGGTATTTATTTCAATTACTAATATATATGTAAAGTGATAAAAACTGGTCTGTCTGCAATTGTTGCAAAATTTTCATTATCATCATAGTTTTTTTTAAAGAGATTTTTATGTATGTCGTGGCCAGATCGTAGAATGGATCATATATCATAAAGTAGTCTACCATTTCGTGAAAACACTGAAAAAATGACTGAAATGAATGTGTATATAGCTTGACCAAATCAATGAATAGAAATCTTTTGAAGTTATTAGTAACTAAACACAACGTTGCTATTTCATAATATGGTCATATGACGATATCATTACCGTTTTTCACCGCTAGCGGCATTGATAGCTTATTGTTAACAGAATCAGAACTTTTAAGAGAATTGACACTTTATCCAATATTGATATAATAAAAAAATGTTCGTTTCTATTGCTGATATTACTAGATGATATAGTTTTGGATTTCATTATTTCATGTAATATTAGCGCCACCTACTTACTTCTAAATAAATTAAAATGGCAAGACATTTATAAATTGAAATAATACAATGCTACTGAATATACGATGTAAATAATTGAATCATTTACATTACGTTCATCCCGCGTTAGAATCAGTGCAGCGAACTCTTTTTTGGCCAAAAACTCTACAGCCTATGCCCAGTAGTAGCATGTATGTAAGCTGCTTTTTTACTTTTCATGGCGCAATATATGCAGTTTTTATTTCATTTGTGTTTTCGGGTATGATAATTTATGTTTTCACTCTACCGTAAATATTAAGGCTTGCAAAGATGAGTAGAACTCATTATCGTCAGCCTATCAAAAGTCCACTGAAATGAACATAGGCCTCCCCCATAAATTGTCAATATTTGCTATAGTGGCGGGTTGGCAACCGCAGCTATTATAATTTTGATCTGTTGTCAAGAAGATGATGCAGATCATCCCATCTACTATTTTTTTTCACTGTGTATAAAATTTATAAGGAATAAAAGTAATTTTAAGGATTTTA